AAAATTAACATATTTTTTAGTAATTTTTTCATTAACACTACAAAATTTCTTTTTAAATTACCTGAAGTTTTGCATTTATTTTGTGTTAAAATATACTATGGGATATTAAATATTGTGTATTAATTGTCACTATACACGCAGAGATAATTTTCTCTTAGAATTTACCCTGAAAGTCATGGTAATCGTGGATCAATATGGAAGAATTTTTCAAGAGTTTCTCTGATTAATATTTGCCACAATAAAAAATATTAATATCTACCACAATAAAATATAAAATATGTTCGATGAATTTTACTATGTACATAGTTATATTTACTATGTACATATTAATATTTTTTATTGTGATAAATATATTAATCAGAGTAATTCTTATAAAATTTTTTCAATACCATATTGTCCATGATTACCATGATTTTCAGGGTAAATTCAAAGAGAAAATTCTATCTCTGTAATTTTTAAGTTTCTTCGGTAACCCTTCATCATGTGTTCATACATTTTATATTATGTAATATGATATAAAAATGATTTAGCATTCAAATGCATACAAGACTTTTTAAAAAACGCACAAAAGGACGTTCAATCATATTTTTTATTAAATTCCTCTAGACTCTTGATATTTATGGGGTATTAGATAATACTCATTATTATTAATAATTGTTGTCACTAATAATTTAACGCCTTTCTGTGATTTTTTGAAAGATTTACACGCGTTTGCAAGCTCAATTTTTATAGTACATCATATAAAATATATGAAGAAGTATCATCATTTTTCATATATTTTATATTATATGATGTAATATAAAAATTATTTAGCCTACATCCAAACGTATAAAAATCTTTTAAAAATATACGCACAGAAAAGCGTATTCAAATTTTTATTAAAATCCTCCAGTATAAGACTCTTGATTTTTTTTATGTCATAGAACATTAGATAACAATCGTCATTATAATTGTCTCATTAATAATTTTAAAATATAATATTAATATTATATTTATTGATATTTATTTTTATTTATATTTCGATTAATTTTTTTATTTGTTTAATATGATATATTAATACATTCACTTCCGCCCTTTTTCGTTCCGTCTTCGCCGGAAATCGCTGGAGAGAACCGTAAATCCAAGATCTCTCTCTGGTGGATTCTCGCTAGAGGTTTTGTGCATATATAAAAATGCATGCACTTAGCCGCGATACCGATTACACGCTGTGTCGTCGGTCAGCCAGTCCTTACGATTCTTACGCAAGCCGCGGATACGATTTCCGCTCGCGGCAGAAACGCCTTCCTCTTCTCCCCGCGCTCCTCTCCGTCGTTGCATCCTCTCGTTGCGTATCGCGTTACGCAAGACGCAAAACAAGACACACGCGTGCGCTCGAATCTGCGCACCTTGCGACAATCCGGACGTTCCGAAACGATGCGTTTTCGCATTTTGCCGCTTAGTCCTGGGACTTTCTACCTCCGGTCTTTCGCGATCCCTCGAAAGACCGGAAGATCCCTAACGAAATCGACCGAACAAGCGATTTAACGGAGTTAATTACATTTTATTTATTATTATTAATTATGTTTAATTTTTTTTTTAATTACTTTTTTATTTTTTAATTTTACTGATTTATTCTTTTGCGATCCCTCGAAAGACCGGAAGTCCCTAACGAAATCGACCGAACAAGCGATTTAACGGAGTTAATTACATTTTATTTATTATTATTAATTATGTTTAATTTTTTTTTAATTACTTTTTTATTTTTTAATTTTACTGATTTATTCTTTTGCGATCCCTCGAAAGACCGGAAGTCCCTAACGAAATCGACCGAACAAGCGATTTAACGGAGTTAATTACATTTTATTTATTATTATTAATTATGTTTAATTTTTTTTTAATTACTTTTTATTTTTAATTTTACTGATTTATTCTTTTGCGATCCCTCGAAAGACCGGAAGTCCCTAACGAAATCGACCGAACAAGCGATTTAACGGAGTTAATTACATTTTATTTATTATTAATTATGTCTAACTAATTTTTTTTAATTATCTTTTTTCTTAATTTTACTGATTTATCCTATAATTTATTCTTTTGCGATCCCTCAAAAAATCCCTAATGAAATCGACTGAGCAAACGATTTAACGGAATTAATTCCATTTTATTTATAATTATAATTATAATTATTTATAATTATTTTTATAATTATTTTTATTTTTTAATTATTTATAATAATTATTATAATTATGTTTTATTAATTTTTTTCATTTATCTTTTTTTGTTAATTTTACCGATTTATTCCACGTGCTGGAGAATCTATACTTTCATCCCTCGACGCGACCCGCAATTTCGAGATTGCATCTTCGAATATAGTCTAGTATGTAACGGTATGTCCTAATAATTTGGAGGACGATGGTAACGTCATATGTATGTCTCGATTATGTTATACCTTTCTTGCAAACGATAACACCGCTGTATCAGCGGAATATACGATTGCGTTTATCGGAATGGCAGAAACTCGCATGACTCACGTTTTTTTTTACGTTTTTGCCGCGATTGCGAACAGTGATTGCTAAATTTTCTCAAATTTTCCAGAAAAAAATTAACCGTCTCGTGAATTAAAGCGAGATTGATTGATTAAGTCATCGCGCGAGCGCGCAAATTTTATTTCCGCGTGGCGTAAAAATTGCGACGCGGAAATTACATTTTACGGCCGCGAATTACAGCCTTATCATGTAATATATATTATTATTCGGCCTGTTCGAGCGTCTTATCTTCAGTCCTCGATTATTCATCGTGAGTCGAGTAAAGATATAGAAAAAAATCCCCCTCGTCCATTAAATAAGATTTTTCATTTTAATTGTAATTTTTAATCGTATTTTAATTGCATCGAATTTTGTATTTTAATCGTATTTAATAATAAATTTAATAAATAATATAAAATAAAATTTAATTTTTGTTTTATTTTTGGTCCCATTAATCTTATGGTTTTTTCTTTTTGTTCTGGTATATAATGGATTTTTTCGCATAATTCCGCTAAATAAATAAACATCTGTCGACACGAAGAGCGACAGAAATGAAATTATTGCTCGTTTGTCAGAGAAACGCACACATTTTCTCGTAGAATCGAATCGAGATTCCATTCACGTGTTCAATCATGATTAAACATCTCGGCACCTCGAGTCGATAGATAATCTTTATTCGTTTCCGTCGATATATTCTTATCGCGCAGAAAAAACTCCGGGACGAGATATATAGGAATATGTGAATCTCTCGCGATTTTTTCGCGTCGAGGTGCAAAATTGATGCGTACGTGCACGCAATTGTTTTTCCCGCGCAAATATTTGACGTGTTCATGAGCAACTTCTCATCCCGCGCTCCGGAGTGTTTTTTTCCTCCGTTTGTTTTCGTTCTCTCCGCTTCCAGAAGAACCGGGCCGATTTTCCCTAATTTATTTCTGCCGCGATCGCAAACCGGAAACGTGCGTTGATGAATTTCTCCGGATGACGTGACGCGGATTCTTCTCTCCTCGCTTGACCCGCGCTGACAAAATTGCAATATCGACGAGAGAGAAAATCGGATCGAGGCATCGGTTCGTTATTTTCCGCGCGTGTTTTTGAGAAAAAAAATAACTGATATGGAAATATCGAACTGCGGCTTCGAAACTGTATCAATAAGCCGAGAGCCGATTTTAGATAAACAAGATATTTCTGACTTTTAGAGAAACATTTTTATATTTCCTAGAATCTTTTAAATTTTTTAATTAAAAAAAGATAGCATTTTCTATTGAAGAAACTCTTTTCTTTCTTAAATGTTAATGTGTTTGATTTTTTATTATATATATATGTATGTTTTATTTTTTATTATATATATGTATGTATGTATGTACATATGTATATCAATAATCATACAGTCTCTTAATTTTAAAAATATATAATGTCAAAAAAGATGCAGTATTTTCTATTGAAAAAAAAATTATTTTTTTCAATAGAAAATACTGCATCTTTTTTGACATTATATAATTATTTTTTTCAATAGAAAATATTGTATCTTTTTTGACATTATTTATTTTCAAAAAAAAATATATATATATATATTTTTTGAAAATTAATATAATGTTAAAAAAGATGCAGTATTTTCTATAATATTAAAAAAATAATTATCTTTTTTCTTAAATATGAATATATTTTTTATTACTGATAACCAGCGTCGAGATAAATTCCGCAACAATGATCGAGATTTGTCGAGTTGAAAGAAAGCATAATTATTAATATTCTAATTTATGGTGCACATCACTCTTTTTTGGAGAACTGAATGGAAAAAAAATGTTCCGTACACGTTCTCGATTCATGCTTACGCAAGGTATCATTTTTTTCTTTAGTCGACTGTATATATACGGGCTATGCGGAAGTAAGATAAGGCGGCAGCAACGGTGGTAACAAATGGCCGGTATCAAAGAGGGGTGAGAAGAGAAGGGAGGAAGCCGATATATAATTTTTCCTAGTGATGGACAGCGATCCTTTATTCGGTGTCCGTTCATTTTGCACCTTCAAATCGCGCGATGAAAATTCGCAAGCGAGTGCAAAGTTTAAGAGGAAATTTATTTCAATTATTTCGACTCGAAATGCGCTTAAAATATAGTTGCAATTAATGAATTTCTAAAAATTACTGATTTTTCGTTGTTCGTAATTGACGAAACTTCAATTTCTCGAGGTATCGCGATATTCTCTCGCTCTCCATCGTCGAATTAATTTGGTCGAGTAAATTACGAGGTATTGATTAAACCCAAACTTAATTGCGGGCTGCATGTGTGCGTGCATTCGCGTATATGTAACATATATACATGTCCGAAACGTTGGTATAATTTTGCAAACTATTTCTTCCGAAACGCGACATTCGAGCGCTATTAATTAATAATTTTCTACTCTCGCGTAATTGCGAAACGGATCATGATGTCGAAAAATAATTGTTTTTAAAAAAATATTAAATATTACTCGACAAAAATTAATAGTAGAAAGACGTACCACTTTTCTCCGAGAACTTTCCACTCTTTGAAATCTGTACCTCGCCTGCATGTGCAATCTCGACGGCAAAACTACTAGAAGAAAAATATGTAATATATTACATAAAAATGTGTAAAATTGCATAAATAATAAGTATAAAATTACACGGAGAATTTTGTCTTAGAACTTACTCTACCATAAAAATCATGGTAATCGTGGGATAATATGGAAGAGTTCTATAAGAGTTTCTCTGATTAAAACTATTTACCACAATAAAAAATATTAATATGTACCTAGTAAATTTTACAAAATTAATCAAACATATTTTATATCTTATTGTGATAGTTATTAATATTTTTCATTGTAGTGAATATTAATCAGAGAAAACGTAAGAAAATCTCTCTCTCTCTCTCTCTCTCTCTCTCTCTCTCTCTCTCTCTCTAAAATATTCTTCTTTTTTTAAAAAAAATATCTATATATCAAAATATCTATTACATTATATTACTGTAGGATAAATATTTTTTCATTTTCCAAAAAAAAATATTCTTCAAAGATAATTAAAAAACTGAATGATTATTTATATAAAATATAAAAATACACATTTCTTAAGTCTTAATAAAATATAAATGACACAAGAGAACAATATAAAAACTATATTTATACAAAATCTAAAAATACATATTTATTAAATCTTAATAAAATATAAATGACATAAGAATGATATAAAAAATATAAAATCGAATTTTTATCGCGTCGAACGAATCCTTCACGCAACAGCTGATCGCGAGGACGTCGCATCCGGGAGAGGAGCGTCGCTTTCGCGAGGTGTATTATTGTCCCTCTCGGCGGTGGCGAACAAAAGACGGGACATCCGCGGTGAATTCGCGCGCGCACGAGCGACGAGAATTAACGCTCGTGCCGCGCGCAAGACGCACAAAGGCGGCGGAACGATTCTAGAATTGCTTCCGCGACTTCAGCGAGCAAGAACGACGGCGGTGCCGCGAGTCTTCTTATTATCGCGGCCAAACAAAACGTTCTCCTCTCTCTCTCTGTCTCTCGATCTCCTTTCGCCGCCGCAAAAAGGAATTCATTTCTCTCTCGTCTCGCGGTTGCGCCGCCGCAGACGCACACAATGCAAGAATCCTCTGGGCCTTAGTTCATCGCGGAAGTTCCGATACGCATCTTCCTGCGTGTCGAGTAATTTCCTCCCTCGCATGAGTTACGTATTATCGGTCGAATGTGTAATGTCTATACAAGCTCCGAAAAAAGAGCTTGCAAACATGAGCGTCCGCAGGGCTGACTTTTGCACCCCTTGGAATCGGCAAAAAAGCATTTGTTCTCTTTTCGAATAATAAATGCTGGAATTTACTTGCACATTTGATATGAAAAAATAAAAGTAACAAAATAACAAAAAAAAAATTTAAATTAAAAAAACAAAAATTTTTAAACTAAAAACCGCGCGCAAAGAAAAAGCTTTTCAAAATACACATATCTTGTCGCGGTGAAAAAGTATTTTATTATCAAAAGATATATATTTAAATTGTGAATATTCTACATCGAATTTTATAAAGTTTCTGCGATTAATATTTATACCACAATATAATATCTACAAAAAGATATAAAATATGTTCGATTAATTTTATTATATACATAGTAAAATTCTTCACATACTATATTTTCCCACGATTACTATAATTTTCAGGGTAAATTCTCTAACATAATAAGAGCAAATTTTCTTCGTGTAATATTTTGAATCGTGCTCTCTTTGGAAAAATTGTGGATGTCCGTGCTTGTAAAAGTGCGGGATTAAAAAGAATCTGATTCGAGATGCTGTTTTATAAAATGTAATCTGCTCGCAGAATTTGTGCTGTCCTATATTCGAGCTTTGAAAGCTTCGCGATACTGTATCATCTTCAAATGCCTTGAGATAAATTTATATCTACTTCTTTTCTTATCCTTCTGTAGACGACGTAAATATTCACGATAAGCTTTAGATGACAAGCTTTAGATTTCATGTAAAAGGGAAAACCTATTGTTTAATTATTTTATTATACATAATATTTAAAAATCTTGTCGACTTTCAATTCTATTTTTGTATGTTTTTGTTTAAATATGCACTTATACATGTACATTTACGCTTTTTATCCTATACGTTTCGTTATATTTAAAAATGATAATTAAAGAGGAATAAAATATTTAAAATAATTCTCAGGAAGAAAAATAAATAACCAATATATGTTTCACGCTCTAAAATAAAATTCTCCAACGAGGATGGAACGCGAGAAAGAATTGCAAAAAAAGGGGAAAAAATCGAACAGTATTACATTAAATGAAAAACAAAGTGAATCTCGAAAGCTGAATATACATGCGCGCAAATAAAGTATAACAAGAAAAATATGAAGAAGAAAGAGAGGAACGGAAATAAATTAATTTTATTTCGAGAAAATTCGCTCGAGAGAAGCGCGCGATCCAGAAATATGCGACAAGCGGATCAAAATATAATCAGCCGGAGATAATAATAATAAAAGAGAGAATGAGAGAAAAAGGCGGAGAAGAGGGGGACCAGAGCGTGTGCTCCGAAAGAGCGAGAGCGATCGACACGTCGTCGTCGTCGGAGGTATCGCGCGTCCTTGCCAGCTCGCCGCCGAGTTCTCTCTGCCTCTGCTCGAAAAGGGAAGTAGGGGTAGGGAGAACTCCCTTCCACTGTTCCACGAACCCCCTCCATAGCACTCCCATCCCCACCACTCGACGCGCTATGTAAGAGCCCGCACATGTTACCCCGCGTTCCAGTCTCGCAGCGGCACTCGCGAGCGCTTGTTCTGCACGCGTCGAAAAGTGGCAACGGATCCAAGCAAGGAAGGAACGGATAAAACGTTTGCGTTCTCTCTCTCTCTCTCTCTCTCATACGGACTGCCTGTATACTCGGATCTCGCTGTTATACAGGACGGTGTGGGTACGTACGCGTGCGCGCGGAGTTCTTTTCAGTGTGCTTCGCTCACCGAGTCCGACAGAAATCTCAGTCAGTCGCGCACTCACCGCCTAGCGAAGGTTGAAGAACAGTTAATCGAGGGAGAAGAGAGAAAGGAGCAGCACCGCCTGCACCGTTTCCACCCCATTCCGCGTGTACATCTTCGAGCACTTTTCTTTTTTTACTTTTATATATATATCGTCGTATCGTGCAATTTTGTGGAAATCTCGTTCGAGTGAAAAGTACTTACTTAGTCCACCCCCGGATTGATCTATAATTTACTTCGTACCCTTCTTTCTCCATCTTTGCGCGCGAGTGCTGAGTGTTAAAAGAGGAAGAAATTTATTCGTTCCCGAGGACCGACATCGTCGTAGTGTGGATAAATCGACGTCAATTACCGGGAGTAGAGCACGAGAGATAAGACACGTGAGTATATCTCCAAAAGTGTCGTAAAATTCGCGATATTTCTCGATAACTGCGGAGTTTTGGAAAAGCTTCGGCCTTCCGCGGCTAACTTCGCGAACTTGGACTCACGCGCGTGGGCGGTGATCTCCGGCCTTCCGCGGCTAACTTCACGAAGCGTGACGACAACGATGATTTACACACGCACACAGGCACGCGTGCATATTTCGCGTGCCTGCACGATGAAGCATTGCATAATCTTGCGTTTTTTCTTCTCTCGTCGAGGATGACGTCGCGAAGGAAATGAAGTGAGGCCAACGAATAATAAATATAATTTCGCGCAAAGCACACGATATAATCAATGATTGTCGAGTCTTCGTTGATAAGATGACGAGCGAACTTTTGCATATATATTTTTTTTGCAACGTTGTACGATTTTTTTCCTTTACGCAATTTATCCAGAAGTCGCGAACGGACAGATATATGCGAGTGATACCTTATCTCTCCTTCGTGGTCGTCCGTGAGCGCCAGGAGATAAGCTCGCGGTCAAACTGCAAATTTACGCGAAATTACGGATCGATTGAACGCACACGCAACGTTCTGAAAATCAAGTGTCAAAAGCAGCGCGACAGGCGCTTATTAAAGCGGACCTGTTAATCGGAGTTAATCATGTCTCGGGCGGAATTTTCAAGTTCGCGACGCGATAGTTCTCAAGTTATTTAATTAATTAATTAATAAGGAGCGCTCGCGTATAATCGCTCACGGCGAAATGCCGTGACGCGCTCGTGCAACGTTTTGTAACACGCGCGTGTTGTGTTACGTGACGTGTTCCCGCGACGACGACGTGTATCTGTACGTGTATCTGCGACGTAATATACTCGTCGAGTTTACTCCGTTCCGCGGCCGCAATTATGTAGCGCAAGAACAGGTGACGATAGTCACGGCCTTGATATCATGGCAGCCCTCGCGATCTTTCGCGATTTGATAGACGCGGAGAAAGTCGACTGGTATTTCCACCTCCAACTGTGCGCGTCCGATTTTTATTCTATACGCGAAGAGAATTTTCTCTTGGAATTTGCCCGGAAAAACATGGTAATCGTGGGACAATAATGGTATTGGAAGAATTTTATAAAAGTTTCTCCGATTAAAATATTGACCACAATAAAAATATTATTACGAACGTAGTCAAATTAATCGAACGTATTTTATGTTTTATTGTGCTAGATGTTAATATTTTTATTGTGGGAAATATTGGTCAGAGAAACTCTTATAAAATTAAAAAATTAACAAGGACAATAATGATATTGAAAGGATTTTATAAAAGTTTGTCCGATTAAAATATTGACCACAATAAAAATATTAATACGAACGTAGTCAAATTAATCGAACGTATTTTATATCTTATTGTGCTAGATATTAATATTTTTATTGTGGCAAATATTGATCAGAGAAACTCTTATAAAAGGAATAAAATTGTTTCTTTATTTTAACAAACCTTAAATACAATGATTCATCGCGAACGTTTCTTATAAAATTCTTCCAATACTATATTGCCCTACGATCACCATGATTTTCATAGGATAAATTAGAAGAGAGTTCTACGTACAATTTTCCTTGTGTCGTTCGTCTACATCTTTCTCAAACATTCAGTAAATTTGTACACTGAAAAAAAATTATTAAATAAATGAATATTTATGTATTTCAATACTGCTTAATCAGTCATTTATTTGAAACAAATATTTATGTATTTTGAAAAGGATTTTCTTATATTAAATAAATATTTTTCACATAAAATTATTATTATTATTATTTTCAAATAAATGACTGATTTATTAGACAGTATTGAAATAAATATTTATTCGAATTCAATAATTGTTTTTCAGTGTATAATTGAAGCAAGACAATTTATGAAAAAAGATGAGAACAAATATTTCTGGACAGCGTATTTATAAAAAAATCTACAGTTTTTCTTGTGTCATTCGCCTACATCTTTCTGAAATATTTAATATAGTGTGATCGAACGAGACGATTTATGAAAAATAAATGGACCAATTTTTTTGATAGCGCATTTGCCTCGCGCAAATCTGTATCCTATATCGGAAAATTTTTTCCGCGAACATGAATACTTCAGGACGTACCGAGTAACTGGTTTTGCGAGAAATAGGAAGATGCTTTTTTTTGGTCCATTTTAGTTTGCTTTCCCTCTCGCGGATTATGAGACGAGACGCACGTGCTCTCGTCGATTTAATTTCCACTCGCGCTCGCGACGAGATTAATTTTCTTCCAAGGCTTCCCTCGGCGCGAGGAGGACAACAATCTGGAGCTAACTGACTGACTGCGTATGTGACTGACTCATCACCGTTGCGTTTCACTCGCACAAACGCGATCATTAAGACGAGTTACGTTAAAGGTCGCGAGAAGCCGGTTTTTAGCGCGTCATAATAGAGTCTGTGCTTATATATATATATATATATATATATATATATATATATATATATATATATATATATATATACGTGTATCCCCTATTATCACGTGTAACCTCGGCACGAGGATCGTGCACCGGTTTGGAATCGGCCGATGCATCGTTTGCTTTAAAGGCTACCGATCAATTACAACTCCGATGTAATTTGTTGTTCGTGACGACGAGCAGAATATCGCTTGTCGCACTTTATTCTCGTTAAGTGAGTCATGTCATCAGATTTCAATGGAATAATAAACGATAACAATATAATATTATTGTTATCATCAGCGCTATTTGTCGGTTGTGTTCGCTTGAAGACGAGGCTTCGTGATTAGCGACAAATTTCAAGACAGATTTCATATGTATTCGTTTCGCTACTCCGAAATGTTTAGGAAATATACATGTTAATTTGATTATGCAATGCGACAGTTACACATACATTCGCAGAATTCGGGGTAATCTTTTATGATCTATAATTTACATTTATCGACTTTCTACATCAGGCTTAGATATTTATTTTATTTTATTTATTTTATTTATTTTTATTTATTTATTTATTTATTTTTTTATTTTTATTTTTATTTTTATTTTTTTTAATTTAAGATACTCTGCGTTCTTCTTGTCTGCGCGACTTGACATTGTATGTTGCAAATTCATTTATGTATCTGACTGTAATATAATCTCGCGCTTAAAGTCCGCGACAGAAATCTGTTTTTACTTTGTGCGTTATGAACGAAATAAAAACACATTTGAAAAAAAACGTGAAATATATTATATCCTCGCGCTCATGTGTCAAATTATAAATATTCTGTCTTGTATTTTGTCGTGATACGTCTCAATCTGGCTTAAGCCGGATGTAATTTCGCGCAACATGTTGAATAAATAACGCTGATAATAATAAATTATTTTTATTTCGTCGCGTAATCTGGAGTAAAATGATTTACTTTTCGCGGGATAAAGCGAGAGTATATATTTTGCGGAATCTAATATAATAAATCGTGCTAATATAATAAATTACTCGAAATTTCTAGACGAGCCGAGGTTTATCGCGGATACCGACGCGTTCGTGATTTTTTTCAACGAATCTGCAAAGTTTGCACAGCTGATATATGTATATACATATATACGTATATATATACGTTAATTGCTTGCGACAGCAATTCCATTCATCCCCACCGTTTTTCCTCTCATCCGGAAAAAAGAAGTCATGATGTACCGTAAATTCCGTTCGTCGTCGAGGACTTCTCCGTTCAGGACTTCCCCTGGTTAACGGGATAACGCGGTTACTAATATATGCATATTTATATACACAGAGACAATTTTCTTTTAGAATTTACTCTGAAAATTATGATAATTAATTGTGAGACAATATGGTATTGGAAAAATTGTATAAGATATTTTTCTTTAATTAATATTTAGCACAATAAAAATACTAATATTTATCACAATAAGATATAAAATATGTTTGATTAATTTTACTATGTATGTACATATTAATTTTCGAGTTTACTAAATAAAATTAATTAATTAATTAAAAAATATTTTTATTGTGGTATAAACTTTTGTATTACACGTGCAGGCAAAGTGGCACTTTGTGTGCGTGTTTTCTGTGCGGAAAGCGGCCGATTTCCCACGCCGCTATCTAGCGTCGACGCGGCAATGCTTTGTCCACGGTTTTAGCCGTGAACAATGACTTTGAACACGACTATTCCCGCACCGTGCCGCCGCAAAATGGCGACTTTGCCTGCACTTGTAATACAAAATAGTGTGTGTATCACGTGCGGATTGACAATTGTTCACTCGTGTGGGGTGGTCCATCGCCCGCACTCGTGACCAATTGTCAACTTTCCGCACTTGATACTTTATTATCCCTCGATTACCATAATTTTCGGGGCAAATTTAAAGAAAAAAGTGCGTACACACGCGTTATATTAAGTGGTGCCACGTTCTCGCGGAGGGACAAACAAACTGCCGAAATCGGATTAACATTGATTTGGCGACCGGCCTCTCTAGCCCTGTTCATCGATCCTGTTTTCTCTCTCTCTCGTTCTTTCTCCACTTCTTTATTCGCTTCCGCAGTAAACAACCGGACGCGCACGTTCCGACTGGCCGTCACGGAATTAATCACGGTTTAATTGGAAAATCTCACAGCGCGCAAATACCGTCGCCTGTAGTAGATAGGCAAATATCCCGGGCCATCGGGATCGGTGGCAATTACGTGATATGCAAACTACTATAGCTGCGCGCCGCGAATAATCGATCGACCAAAGTATACGAAAACAATTCCCCGCCCGCACGCCTTTTACTTAATTGTTCCGTGTGTGTTATCGAGAATATCGCAGGTATTTATTTCTGGGGGAACATTATCTTTGACCCAGTTACTTTTTGAAGTCGCGAGAGCGTTCGATTTAGCACTCGTACATATATTTCTCATTTTTCATTGCATTTTATTTTATATCTCCTTTTCTTTGCCGTTATTCTCTTCTCTAATTAACGTAATGAGTTTTTCGTACATTCTACATAAAGAAATGATTTATATACTAAATCATTTCTTTATTTAGAAATCGGCGCAATTATAATTAATTTCATTATTTATTTATAGTAATCATTTATTCATTTATTTATTTCTATAATTATTAATTATTTAGTATATAAATAATTTATAAGAATAATTTAGAAATAAATAAATATTTATTTTTATA